TTGTACCTTTTCCATTTCTAATATATCTTTTTTTTTAGATGGGGCGACCAGAATTGCCCACAGTATCCAAGGTGTGGACATACCATGAATTTATATAGTGACATTATGATAATTACTGACTTATTATCTATCCCTTTCCTTAATGGTTCCTAACATTCTGTTAGCTTTTTTGACTGCCGCTGCACATTGAGCTGATGTTTCCTGAGTATTATCCACAATGACTCCAAGATCTCTTCCTTGAGTGGTAACGGCTAATTTAAACACCATAGTTTTGTGCATAGAGTTGGGATTATATTTTCCAATATGCATTACTGTGCATTTACCAACATTTAATTTGGTCTGCCCAATCACCCAGTTTTGTGAGATCCCTTTGTAACTCTTCACAGTCTGCTTTGGACTTAACTATCTTGAGTAATTTTGTATCACTGCAAACTTTTCTACCTCACTGTTTATCCCTTTTCCCAAATCATTTATGAATATGTTGAACAGCACTGGTCCCAATAGAGATTCCTGGGAGATCCCGCTGTTTACCTTTCTCCATTCTGAAAACTGACTGTTTATTCCTACCTTTTGTTTCTTGTCTTTTAACCAGTTACTGGTCCATGAGAGGACCCTCCCTCTTATCCCATGACTACTTAATTTGCTTAAGAACCTTTGGTGAGGGACCTTTTCAAAGGCTTTCTGAAAGTCTAAGTACAGTACATTCACTGAATCATCCTTGTCCACATATTTGTTGACCCTCAAAGAATTCTAATAGATTGGTTGAGGCATGATTTCCCTTTACAAAAGCCATGTTGACTCTTCCATTGTGTTTATCTATGTGTCTGATAATTTCTGTTCTTTACCATAGTTTCAACCTTTTTGTCTCGTGCTGAAGTTAGGCTTACCGGCCTCTAATTGCCAGGTTTGCCTCTGGAGCCTTTTTTAAAAATTGGGGTCACATTGCTATCCTCCAGTCATCTCGTATAGACACTGATTTAAGTGATAGATTACATACCACAGTTAGTAGTTCTGCAATTTCATATTTGATTTCTTTCAGAACTCTTGAGTAAATACCATCTGGTTCTGGTGACTTGTTATTGTTTAATTTATCAATTTGTTTCAAAACTTCCTCTGTTGACACCTGAATTTGGGACAGTTCCTCAAATTTGTCACCTAAAAAGAATGGCTCAGATGTAGGAATCTCCTGCACATCCCCTGCAGTGAAGACCGATGCAAAGAATTCATTTATCTTCTCCACAATGGCCTTGTCTTCCTTGAGTGCTCCTTTAGCACCTCGATTGTCCAGTTTCCCCACTGACTGTTTGGCAGGCTTTCTGCTTCTGATGCACTTAAAAAAAAAATTGCTGTTTCTTTTAAGTCTTTTGTTAGTTGCTCTTCAAATTCTTTTTTGGCCTGCCTAAATATAGTTTTTCATTTGACTTGCCAGAGTTTGTGCGACTTTCTATTTTCCTCAGTAGGATTTGACTTCCAGTTTTTAAAGGATGCCTTTTTGCCTCTAACTGCCTCTTTTACTCTGTTGTTTAGCCATGATGACATTTTTCTGACCTTCTTACACTGTTTTTTTTATTTTGGGGTATACCTTTCCCTATGTCATTGGTACCAATATGCAAATTCCTGTCATGATCTTACTCTGTGGGCTGCAGGTCCTAACAACAGCACCTTTCAGCTTTGCAGTTGGTACATCTTCCTCTTCTCACTGAAGTTATCTTGCCTGCTCACCACCTCCTTGCCCCCAGTGGGGGTTGAAGCTTAGTGTGCTCTCCGTGAAACCTCAGTTTACATGTTCTATGATACACGATTGTACTATGAACTAACCATGCCTCCATCTCCAAGGTCATCTCAATTTTCCTCATATAATAGGAAATTGTATTGTTACTGTACTGGCTGAATCCATGCATTCTAAGGAAGTGGAAATGCATAAGTTGGTGTGAACAGAGCCTACAAAGGAATAAAGGTGCATATAGCAGAGGCATTCAAAGCCTCCAGTACAACTGCCATTACCAATATGAAAAGAGCAGTGGTCTTGTGGGCAGAGAGAGACACTCATCTTTTAGAGATTCCAAGGCCAGAAGAGACCATAGTAATCACCTAGTCTGACCTCCTGTATAGCAGGGCCAGAGAAATTCCCCAAAATAATTCCTACAGCATATCTTTTTTTAATAAAATCCAATCTTGATTTAAACATTGTCAGTAATAGAGACTCCATTATGACCCTTGGTAAGTTGTTCCAATGGTTAATTACCCTCACTGTTAAACATTTATCTTATTTCCAGTCTGAGTGTGTCTAGCTTCAACTTTCAGCCATTGAATCATGTTATAGCTGACTCTGCTAGACTGAAGAGCCCATTATTAAATATTTGTTCCCCAGGTAGATAGTAATATACTATGACAAAGTCACCCCTTAACCTTCTCTTTTTTAAACTAAATAGATTGAGCTGTATTTCACTAGAATGCATGTTTCTAATCCTTTAAACATTCTTGTGTTCTTCTCTGAATTCTCTCCAATTTATCAACATCCTTCTTGAATTGGGGGTATTGAAATTGGACACAGCATTCCAGCAGCGATCATACCAGTGTCAAGTATAGAGGTAAATTAACCTCTTTACACCTACTTGGGATTCTCCTATTTATGCATCCCAGGATTGCATTTGTTCTTTTGGACACAGCATCATGCTGGGAGCTCCTGTTCAGCTGATTATCCATCACGACCCCCAAATCTTTTTCAGAGTCACTGCTTCCCAGAATAGTGTTTCCTATTCTGCAAGTATGCCTTACATTCTTTGTCCCTAAATGTATACATTTATGGTTAGCTTTATTGAAACACACATTGTTTGCTTGTGCCCATTTTACCAAGCAATGCAGATCTCTATGAATCAGTGATCTGTCCCCTTCATTATTTACCCCACCCTCAATTTCTTTGTCATTGCAAACTTTTGAGGAGGGCCTGTAAAGCTTATACATGGCCTTAAATCCTCACTTTCCGTTGCCATCCTCTCCCTGCTAATGCAGCATTTGGTGGTAGAAGGATGTTACAAAACAGAGTGCCCTAGTAACCCTGAAATGTCTTTTCAGTTCTGCATACATAAATTGAATCTTCCCTCCCTAGGGATGATTTACTGCTTTCTGAATCCCACTGTAAAGACTGTCTGACATGGTGGGAACTAAAAGGGAAAATTCTGTCTTACCAATTAATTTTCATTCTAGTACCCTCCATGTCAGACAGTCTGACCCTCCCTCAGAGTATTGCATTATGACCAGGTATTCTTCTGGCTGTTGTTCACTTGTTAACTAGTTTGGAAGAGAAGAGGGTGTTCCTCCAGGAAATCCCCAAATTTCATGTCAAAAGTCTTCTGCAAATAGATGAGTTGAATTGCACTTTTAAACTTTTGTATAGTTAGTACTTTTCCAGCTTTGGAGGTTATCGTTCTGAGAATTTTTCCTGAGGGGCAGACCTAAGCCCAGGCATAAAGCAAAGATCTGGTCTGTCTTCAGTTCAGTTGCCATGGAAACAGAGAACACTCCTGTGAAGACTGTCTGTCTGTCATTGAGGGTCCTAGAATGAAAATTCACAAATAAGACAGAATTTTTATTTTCTCCTTCCCTACAGAAATAAACTGTTTCAGCATGACTGCATCTACACTAGGAGGTTGTGTACCGCTTTAACTCTGTTGGTATTATTCAAATGGTACAACTTTTGTGTGTGGACAAGTCTTTGTGCTTTGTTGAATCAGGGTCAGTGTATACAACAAGATTATTCAGAGACAGTAACTTGGGGGCCTAGAATTTACATAATACACATCTTATTGTCATGGAGCCAAGCCTACCTGAAATTCAGCTTTTATGAGGGTTGGTTTGTTTGTTTGTCTTTAGGGTCTTCTACAATTCTGCTATTCAAGAGTTTTTAATTAAATGACAATATGGGTAGGTACAAACCAATAGCAGATACTGCCCCAATATTTCCTCACTTTTCAGTACAAAAGGATTAGTTTTTATAACTGCGTATAACAATCAGTTCTTCAACAATAAGAGTGTAGTTTTACATTAAGGCCATGTCTGTACTTACGGGTGATCTATGCTGCTGTGATCAATGCAGCGAGGGTCGATTTAGCGGGTCTGGTGAAAATGCAGTGCGCTCTCCGGTTGACTTCAGTACCCCACCGGAACGAGAAGAGTAAGGTTAGTCGACGAGGGAGTGTCTCCCTTCGACACAGCGTGGTGTAGACACCGCAGTAGGTCAACCTAATCTACGTCGACTCCAGTTAACATTCACATAGCTGGAGTAGTGTAATTTAGGTTGACTTATTGTGGTAGTTTAGACAAGGCCTAAGTCATTGAAATCAGTGAGTTTCTATGTAGGTGCAGGCATCCACCCATATGGTTCTCTTTGCATGATCAGGGCCTTATAACTTGATGTGAAGTGACGGGTCTCATGAGCTTTTCTCAGTATTCTTCCCCTCTAGTCTCCTGTAACTAGATCCCTTCTGTCTTACATTAGATATTTTAGAATGTTTACTATTTTAAAATTAAATATTTTATTGCAAATAACTAGAGAAAAATACTAAATTTACTTTGCCTAAAAATTATTTTTCATTTAAAATATTTTATTTGACTTCCCTTGTGGGTATCTGCCATAATGCCAGAGAAATGCCTGCTGAAGTTCCAGCAGTGTTTAGAATCACAGAAGTAAGCTGATTTAGAGACAAGTTTGAGACATTGTAGTTTGCCCACAATTCAGCTACCTCCGTATATATAAAGGTGTATTATTTGCATTGATTTTAATTCTGCATTAACAAAAATCTCTTGTGGTAAATATTTCTAGTTTATGAGAAAGCACAACTTCAAATTTGAATGTAGTATGAACTAATTTATACAAGTGTCTTTCAAACTGCTCTTTTGTCTCAACATTGCAAACAAATACTGAACTAATGATTGAGTCATAAAGACAGTTTTCTTCTCATGAAACTCAACTAATGTCTTTTTATTACCTCTTGTTTTAGTGCTCATGATCTCACAAAATGGGATCTGTTTAGTAACTGCTACAGATTACTGAGGACTGGAATTGAACATGGAGCCATGCCAGAACAGGTACAATTAGCAATATATACATTATATCGTTTGGGGGAGTTAAGCTTTATGAGTTTTAGTAGAAGAATCATAGAGAAGCACAATGAGTTGATGCCCTAGCCTTTAATTTCCTGATACCACAGTTTAAACCATGCTTTTTGGTCACACAGTGAAATTAATTTTAATTAAATTCCTGGGATTTTCAATGAAAGGTCAGTATTAGTGAGGTGCATGGACAGGAGTCAGGAGACTTGGGTTCTGTTCTTGGCTCTGCAGCTGACTCACTGTGTAACTTTAACTAAGTCACTTAGGCCCCAGTCTTTAAAGGTATTTAGGCATTGCTGTGCCTAAATACCTTTAAAAATCTGGTCCTTAATCTTCCTGTGCCTTGGTTTCCTCCTCTGCTATGGAATGTGCTACATACATGCTAGATAAGATTAGAATTATGATTACACTGTAATGCTGGTTCAGTGACTATTTAAGTATTTGTCCATAGTGTAACAATCACTGGGCCAGAGAGCAAGAATGACTTTGTAGTCCAGTGGTTTGGGCACCCATGTGGGAGACCCAGCATCAATTCCCTCTGCACCAGTCACTCATTATTTGTGCACAGTGGTACAGTTTGAACAGGAAAGATGGAAGGAGTCCCACCTCAGAATATCCCATAGCTGAGTGTTTAGAGTAGTCTTCTGAGGGATAGGAGACCTCTGTTCAGATCCTTTCTCCCCCTCTGGTGGAGAGGGGAATTGAACCTGGATCTCCTACATCCCAGGCCAGTGCTCTAATGACTGGTCTAAAAGCTATAAGGTTGGCAGCTCCTTCTCCAGTAGCTTCTTGCTAAAATGGCTTAAGGTGCCTAACTCTAAAGAAGGTTCCTGGCTTCAGAATTGCAAGCAGAGCTAGTTGCTTCTCTGGAGCCCAGACTAAGAAGCCTGTCTCTGTGGAAAGGGTGGGGTTTAGCATGCACTCCTCTGGTCGGCATTTCCCATTCGCTGTCTTAGGTGGCTCCCCACCTAGTGTTCCTGCTTTTATGAAATGCAGTTTATCCTCACGTAAAACTTAATTGTGAAGCACTTAGGGCTGCCACAGACATAACATACCTGACAAAAAACCTCCAGCATAGAGAAATAAAAAGTTAAGTGCTCTTCCAGTATAGCTTCTCTGCCCCTAGACTGTTCATTTCTATTGATTGTGGGAAGCATCACTGATCTGGACAAGATTTTGAGAGGAAGTAACAGTTGTCCTTTACATTTCTTACTGAATTTCAGGTGACACCTCCCACTGATATCTCTGTTTGTAGCACTAATATTATCCCTGCCATCTCCATGAGACATGTGTTCTCTCTGATTTGCATCATGTTACCCGGCTGTCATACTGACAGTTTAAGAATTCGATGGATTAAAACACATGCTTTTACATGGAGATATCCAGATGCTGGATCATACTTTTGTCATGTTCAGACTTGCCTATCCCTTTCTTTACTCTGTTCTGACAGACAGAAACTGTTAATTTTCCTTCACAGCACCTACAATTTTTTTCCCCACCAAATGAGATAAACGATCTTTACTCATACTAAGATGCTAGGGGGTAAAATCATACCTTTGAAAATGAGAAGTGCTACACAAGAGCTATTATCACTTCTTTTCCAAAATTCTTCATAAACTTTAGCTAAATTTTAGTTAAAGACGTGTACTTGATGTCTTCCAGTGTATTGGCATTCTTTGTGTTCCCTCTATTACAGATAGTTGTTCAGGCACTACAGTGTTCTCATTACTCTATTCTCTGGCAGCTGGTGAAAATCACAGAAGGGTCCCCCTCCAAAGTAAGTAAAAATTCCTATATATACAGTTGTTACTGAAGAAGTTTAACCTTGCTTAGGTCACTAGGTACATTGGTCCTGATTCCCCATTCCCTGTATTATGTGAAGTCATTTTTACACCAGTGCAAAGTGGGTGTAAATCATTACCATTCTAATTTACTAGCATTTAATATCCACTTTGACCAGACAGAGTACAGGGCAATGGAGGATCTGCCCCTGCTCTGTATTGGAAGTTGATCCTGATTGATTTTTCATTTCTGAAGATGTCTAATACACTTCTCTAAGGGCACAGATGCCTGTGTCAGAGATTAAGTGTTGGTGATACAGCTTATCCAATTAGAATGGATTGCAGTTTGGGAAATAATGTTGATTTGTAGCATCACAGATAACTGAAGACCTACATGGTATTTAATTTTTAATGAATAACTATATTTTTAATGTTGCCAAAGGCAAATGTAAGTTTGCTAGTAGTGGATGTTACTAATGAAGCACTAAGCAATAACTATCAGCATTATTAAAGCAGAAAGGTCTCTTCATATTATTAATGTTACTGATTTAAAACAATGGTACAAAACTAAACCTAATTATCATAAAACCATGGGCAGCAGCAAACACTTTGCACACACAAAGTCCTGGACTGCCCAACACCTTATCTCTATACACACATCACCTCCCAAAAGACCCCTTGTGCTCCTGACTTGCGTTGCAGTGTTTTCTTTATGTAACAGATACAGTCTTACCATGTCAAATGAAACCCTTACAGTTTGTTCCTTAGTCATATTAATAAAGAGCCTGATTCAGAAAAGCATCTCTATTCAGGACAGGACTTAAGCATATGTTTAAGTGTTTCTGGAATTGGGGCCAAAATGTGAAGCGATGTCTGCTATGTCAGTGTAACTGTGCTATAAAACTGGGACACAAAGAACTCTTCCACCTTCTAAGGATCAGCCTCTTTGTAAAACGAAAGGAAGTTGTAGCTCATTTTAAAAATGATTTTTAGGACCATATATCAGTGAATAAGCATGTATTTAATATGATTCTGACACAGGAGGTAAGGGACGACTGCATTCTAGCATGCATAATTATCCAGTAGGACGCATTAAAAAAATCCTACACATGATTTTAAATTGTTGTAATTTGATTTCAGACTCACTTTGCAATGCATATATTTAACTGCATAAAAACAAAAAAGAGCTCACTTTCCCGTCTCTCTTTGGAAGCTAGAAAAGCACAAGTAGGTTAAGGCCTCCTAGTAGCACTGTATAAAATGCTGAGTCTAGATGAGACAAATGCATATTTTGCTGTAGAAAGAGTTATAGGAAATGACTCATGCTCTGAGCAAGCAGCAATGCAAATGTTGTGAAGACATTCTTGTATATGTATCCTTATTCAAACTTCTTCACTAATTCTTTTAATAGGTTAATCCAGATTACATTGATGCAGCTAGACAGGCTTGAATTAGAAAAAGTACCATTCCTAGAGCTTTTATATATTTGTAATTGGATGGCACCAACTATGAAAGAGCATTTGCAATATAAATTAATTCTACAACTGGAAGCCCCAAATTTATGTTTTTTAGTTTTAGAGTTTCTAAATTTTCTGTTCTAACTCTGGGACTTTTCCTTTCCTATATGTGCATTGATCGTTGATGTGCTGAATCATTTTAAAGTAATTGGATAGAATTTTGAGTGACATCATACTAATAAGTAATACAGCTGTGGAGCTGTTACTATTTGGATGGCTTGGATTTGTCCCTAGAATAGCACAAAGTCTACTGGAATGTTTCTGAGGCTTGCTCTCCCTGATCAAATGAAAAGAAGCATTATGTTGTCTTTATTCCAATGGCAGAGACAATATCCTTCATCTGGCGACTTCAGCTCACTTTTCCAAAAACCTCAGCCTGGCCAACAACAGAAGGCAGGGTAAAGGGAAGCACCTCGGAGAGAAGCGAGGGGCAACATCTGTTGCTCATATGTGCTTTCATAGATTCTAAGGCCAGAAGAGACCATTATGATCATCTGGTCTGACAATAGACCTTCCCCAAATTAATTCCTAGCGCAGATCTTTTAGAAAAACATCCAAACTTGATTTTAAAATTGTCAGTGATGGAGAATTCACCCTTGGTAAATTGTTCCAGTGATTAATTACCTTTACCATTAAAAAATCATGCCTTATTTCAAGTCTGAATGTGTCTAGCTTCAACTTCCAGCCATTGGATTTTATTAGACCTTTCTCTGCTAGATTGAAGAACTCATTATTAAATATTTGTTCCTGTCACAGGGTAGCTGGTCTCTGTGGATAGACTGAGCACTGCTCCCCTGGACTGGAGCAGGTGAGCTTAATCCCGTTAATTAAAGAGAGCTGGGCTACACCTGGGTCTATGAAGGGCTGCTAGTAGGCAGCCGAGAGGGAAGGAATGTGACAGGCTGAGTCCTGGGCAGCAAAGGCCACACAGGAGTGGAACTAACTTCTGTGGTGAGTCCCTGGAGCAAGGGAGGGTTTAGGGAAGCAACCCTGCGGCTGCTGCTCCAAGGGGGGAGCAGAGCTGGCTGAGGCTAGGAAGATGCCAGGAGCTGGGCGGGGTTGCCCTGAAGACTGGAGGCCAGGTACTGACTTAAGACTGCATTCTGATTGGTTAGTTGTTTAACCTTTATTGTAAAAGAATAAACCCCTTTAACTGAGAGTGGGCGTGGCAGCCCATGTTTGGAGCAAAGGTGAATCGGCAGCCATCCTGGTGACAGATGATACCAGAAGTGGGGTCTTAGTCCACCCCTATACTAAGTGGAAAGATGGAGTTGGTGATCAGCCTGATAGTGGCAGGGAAGCAGCAGAAGATAGCCGCTATGCAGAAACAGCAAGAACACCAGACCCAGACTTTGTTGATGCAGACGATGGAAAAATCAGCAGAAACAGCAGGAGGCCAGTTCACTACACAACAGCGGTGGCAAGAAGTCCACTCCAAACAACAGGAGTGGATACAGAAGCGGTTGGGCTGCACCACACCTGGTAATGCAATTGGTGATGGGACTGGGGTCTGGGCCTTGCAAACCTTTGAGCACAAGATGACCCGGAGGCCTTCCTCCAGACATTCGAGTGTGTGGCAAAGGCAGTGAACTAGGAGGAGTCTATTTGGGCAGCCCACATAGCACAGTCTCTGAATGGTGAGCTGCAGGTGGCTTACTGGGTAATAAATGATGAGCAGGCAAACTCCTACCCTGTGGTGAAGGCAGCTATCCTGGACCGGTTAGGGCTGACTCCAGAGGCTTATCGGCCCAGGTTCCTGGTGGAACCATTCTCGTGAGGGGCACATCTGCAGCCTCTTGAGGTGGTGTCTCTGCCCAGAGACCGGGTCAGGGGAGAAAGTTCTGGATCAGGTGGTCCTTGAACAGTTCCTGAAGGTTCTGCCCAGAGGGGCACAGAGCTGGGTAAAGTGCTTCCGGCTGGCCTCAGTGGAGGAAGTGGTGGAGTGAGCTGAAGCCTTCTCCGAGGCTGAAGGAGACAAGCGACCAGGACAATGTAGTAAACTGAGGGGAGTTCACCAGGGGGTAACCCGGGGGAAGCCCTCAAGTGGGAAATACCCCATGTGTCCTAAATTCAGGAGGCGCACAGCACCTACAAGGGTCCTGGGGAGCCCTGCAGGTTACTGGAAATACTAGTGGGAAGGGACCAAGAGGCTCTGGGGTTTGTTTCCCTTGTGCCAGGCTGGGCATATTTAAAAAAAAAAAAAAAATCAATGCCCAATTATGAACTGTGTCTACCTAAACTGTTACTACAGTGGGACCAAGCTGTGGGGTCCACTCTGAGAGTTGAGATGGGCACACAGTGGATAGTAGCAGTTAGGGTGGGAGGAACTGTAGTAAAGGGACTTGTATTGGGTGCACTCTGGTTCTGGAAGACCAGTTGAAGTTAAATAGCTTGGACAGACACCTCCCAGCGAATGTCTCTTGTATCCATAGCGAGACCCAAGTCTACCCCACTGCAGAAGTTGAGCTGGAGGCACGGGGTCAGAGAGCTTGACTGTCTGGGTGGTAAAGGTCGTCTTGGCCCACAGTTCTGGGGAGAGACTGGGTGGGTTTCTCAGCCCTCCTGCAAAAAGGGCTAGGACCATCTAGGAAAGGAAGTAAGGTGGCTGAGAGGCAGAGTAAGGAGGGCAAAGGGGGACTGAAAGGGAGAACACAATTTTCCCCAAGGCCTGAGGGACCAGCTTAGGAAGTGCCAACAGGAGTTGACAAGGTAAGTACCTCACGGGAGAAAATCATCAGCCAACGTGTCAGGTTAGAACAGGGGTCTCAAACTCCAAATGACCACGAGGGCCAGTTCACTGGCCTGAGGGCCACATCACTGACACCCCCCCCCACTGCCCTCGGCTCTGCCCCCACTCCACCCCTTCCATGAGTCCCCACCTCTTCCCATCCCTTCCCTGCCCCCATTCCAACCCATTCCCTGAAGTCCCCACCCAATTCCGTCCGCTCCCTGCCCCCAGAGGGTGCATGAGGGGTGTGGCGGGGGCTCAGGACAGGGAGTTGGGGTGCAGCAGGGGGTTGGGGTTCAGGCAGGGGGCTCGGCAGGGGGTTGGGTTGAAGGCAGCGGGCTCAGAGCAGGGAATAGGGGTGCAGAAGGGGTGTGGGATGCAGGCAGGGGGCTCAGGGCAGGGAGTTGGGGGACAGGGTGCAGGAGGGCTTTGGGCTGCAGGGTGGCAGCAGTGTACACCGGGACCAGGGCAGGCTGCCGGCCCCGGTCGCACTCTGCTCTGGGAAGTAGCTGGAACCATGTTCCTGCGGCCCCTGGGGGAGGGGGACGCAGGGCTCCTCATGCTGCTTGCCGCGCCTGCAGGTATCTCCCCCGAAGCTCCCATTGGCTGTGGTTCCCTGTTCCCGGTCAATGGGAGCTGCGCAGGGGGGCGGTGCCTGGAAGCCAGGGCAACACACAGCCCTCTGCTTCTTCTCCCCCTCCTTCCTCCTCCACCCTCCCCACCCCCCCAGCCGCAGGGACGTGATGCCAGC